TGTTTCCTGGATCTGAGGAGACGCTGAGACCCTCATCCGTGGAGACGACAGGTGCGCTACCGAGTCCGAGAGACCCGGGATCAGGTCTGGGCTCTGCCGCATGCCAGCAGGGAGGCCACGGCCAGACGCCTGCGGTATCTTCATTCATCACACGCTGCACAGGGTTAAACGCCACAGAGCCCTGGCTCACGCAGCAGGTGCAGAATTAATGACACAGCCAACTTCGGGAGCCTCGGGATGGTTGAACAACAGAATATGTTTCAAAAAGCAAGCTAAAACATTCCCAGCGGTGACAGAGTACAGAAAAACCGCCATTAATCCGCTATTTTCAGGGTTTCACTTAGAGTATAAAATACGGATTTTCCCTAAAAGCACACCTGTATTCAAGAATAGCACAGCATTTTCCCAAAGCCCATTGTTTTCATCACACTCACGATACACCGTGAGGTGCCGCTTTCCGTAACTCCTACGTGACCCCAGCCTGCTCCCGTTCATATTATGTGATCTCTGGGCTCACACTTTTATTACGTAGTTTGTATGTGAAACTCGCAAAAGAAAAGACATTAATTTTCTTTTGTGTCAAATAGCTTTGGGGAGGGGACGCCAGAATATTATGCAAAGATAATTGTTTGGTATTTTGCAAATAGAGCTTACATCTCTTCTTCTAAATATGTATATGTGTGTGTATATATATATACACACACACACACACACACACACACACATATATATATATAAACACACACACAGATATATATATATATATTTCTCTGTGGTTAATGACTTTTAAAAACTCAGAAAAACCATTTCTCTTTTCAGGGCAACAGAGGACTTGGTTTTTATGGACAGAAGGGAGAGAAGGTAAGGAAACGTAATAGATTAAAGCGGAGCCCTGCTTAGCAATTAGGAAATAAATCATTTTGATGACTGCTTTCCATGCAGTCGTCTTCTGACCACTTGCATAGGAAATGATCACTGTAAAATGCTGGGCTATGGGAAACGCTCCAGTTACAGTGATGGGTCACTGAGACAGTGAAAGCCAACAGTCTAGGTTAGCCCCGGACAGACCTGTGACACAGACGTGAGTGACTTCAGCCGTCAGCAGCACCCACAAAGTAAAAGCATTGCCCGAGGTGTCTCCCAACGTGCAGACCCTCGAGGTAACTGAGCAGAGACTGAATGGAGAACCACAAGCCAACGTGGAGCCCACTCAGGGACCGGGCACACAGGCGATCAGGAACCATGTGGGCGTCTGTAATCCCTGCACCACCAACACGCAAAGACCAAGGGCCTTCGAGAGCATCACTTGAGGCCACGCACATGAGACCCCCAACGTGGCAGGTGGCTCACACAAGCAGAGGCTCACCAACACGTAACGGGTCGCACTCACCACAAAACCCACTGGCCACCATGAACTTTGTGCCGTGGCTTCATTGTTGATGAATTTTCATTTTGTTTTTCCACTGGGCTGTTTGATTGCACAGTACACTAAGTGTAGTCCGGTACTGCTCAGGTCCGAAGAGAAAGACTTTTTCTTTGTGCTAATACCGTAGAAAAAATTTACAAAGGAAAACATTGAAAAATCCGAACACATAAAAAGTTACACACCTATACAATGAAATATGACAAAATAGTAAACTAACATAAAAAGAAGAAAAATCTGGGAAGAAATCACTGGGCAGAAGGAAGAGTCATCACTTTAGACAGGATGGAAAAGAAGTGAATGTGTATCATCTCCAAAGAGTTGAGTCGAATGTTAATAGAGTATCGAGGCCCCGATAGGTAAAGGAAGACGAACCAAGACCTCCAGGCAATTCTCAGATACAATGTTAGCAGACTCTCTGAATACTACATTGTGTCACTTTGCTCCTGTTCACATTATATGACATCTGGGCTCAAATTTGTATTCCATAGTCTGCTTGTGGAAATGCCAAAGAAAAGACAATAGGTTTCTTTTTGTGTCAGTTTCTGGCAGATGAAGCCCCTTCTTATGCAAGAATCCTTGTCTAATTGTTGCAGATTGATTCCTTCTGGGATCTGTGCACCAAGTGAGAAGTGTTTCTTGCTAATGACAAAAGTGCAAATAAAGCTTGAGATATTTTATCTGTTGAAGATGCTACTTTTTATTCTATAAGAACACCCTTAACGGGCATGGCAGTGGCAAGACTGGAGTAGTCTTTCCTTTCTCGGGCATATCTTACACCTGGGTCCCAATCTTGGAACACAATAGAGGAAAACATTGATGTGGAGACATTCAGCCCTAGTACAGGAATTCATCATAAGGAGATAACTCCACAGAAGCAAATGTAACCCACACTTATGAACAACCTCAACACTGTTTATGAATAAATTGCAAATGATGATGGATGCAAGGAGGACACAAATAATTTTACGTTATGATTTTATTTTATACTATGATTATAACATTACAAAACTGGTGTAATTTTTGTAATATACAAAAGTAGGAATAGCAGTTTGTAGTGGTGCTTTTGTTCACACCTGATGGTGTCTTTGCAATTTAAAGCTGACTACTTTTGCTAAACCATTCCCAGGGCGACATGGGACAGCCGGGACCCAATGGGATTCCATCAGACATCCACCATGCCATCATCGGGCCCATGAAGGAGATGTTCCACCCAGATCAGTATAAGGTAAAGAGGCTTCAGCAAAGTTGACTGTGTTTCCAGTTGAACTAAAAGAAAGGAATTTTCTTTGATCCTTTTAAAACAATCACAAAGTGGGGAAGTCTTAGTACCCAGCTGGCTCATCACACATGAAGACACCACCCATAATCACACAGGTGTACTAGTCCATCATCTTAAAAAAAAACTGTGACAAATTTGCAACAACAGCAGAATTCACGAACAGTCTCCGATCTGTCCTGAGTATACACATCTCCTGTGCAGGCACAGGTTAATGGTCCAAGCATAATTCAGAGCCAGGATGGGAACTATCTGAGCAAAGTGTTGTGTTCCGCAAAAGAAACCTACTTTTTGTCTTTGCTGACAATGGAGCATCACTGTGGGCGTTCTCCCATCAGTCAGTTTTCTGATTTTTATAATTTCCATTAACATTTTCTTTGATCAAAAGTGTACTCTTGGCATGTAAATAAAAATTCAGGGGCGCCTGGGTGGGTCAGTCGGTGAAGCGCCCGACTCTTGGTTTCGGCTCAGGTCACCATCTCACGGTTCGTGAGTTCGAGCCCCGAGTCGGGCTCCACGCTGACAGTGTGGAGCCTGCTTGGGATTCTATGTCTCCCTCTCTTTCTCCCCCTCCCCCCCCCAAAAAAAATAAACTTTTTTTTTTAATTAACACCCCACTCTACCCCTCACTCACTCAGACAGGCCAGTGAACCTTCCCCAGTGTCCGGGCTCCCTTGTGCCAAAGGAAGGTGGTCAATAAACTCAACCTCATAATGCTGCTGAGTGGAGACCACTCCGTCAGGGCAAAGTCCCCAATTTGAGGTCATAGACAGTGCCTGGGACCAAAGTGAAAACCCCAAACATGGGATCTAATTCCAACTCTCAAGTATCTGTCCAGATCGAGATTGGGTGCTCGACCGTGGCTGGGAGAAGGCAGGCCTCCGGGAGGAAGTCGCTCCGGGCAGCTGTGCCTGACTTCACAGCCACGTGACCGTTGACAGAAGGGGCTTGGGCAGTGGCTGATGTAAGGCAGAACGCCGAGGAAAGCGTGTCAGGAGCCATCTGAGCTTAGAGCAGGATGTCCCTGGACATCCAGGCAGGAAGGGGACCCCACTGAGTCATCAGGTGGGATCCAGACGGGACTCCGGCTCCTGCTGGTGCCCTCGCCATCAGCCAGGTAGGGCCTCTGTCCAGTTTCAGGACAGGAGCCAAGGGGGGAGTGAGGCCAGAGGACGTGCGATCCCTGCCGAGGTGCTCAAGCTTCTGCATCAGATTTCCTTCAGCTTCTGCAACAAGATGGGTGGGGGACGGGGGCCCGGCCAGCCTGCAGGAGGCTGCTGAGAGTGACAGGGATCCCAGGTGCCATCTCAGCAGCAATGAGGGAAAGAACCCAGTGGTCACTGCATTTCTTCCCCCGTTTTAGACCAAGAAGAGTGGGAAAAAGCGATCATATAAAATTGAGCCTGCTTCCTAAATAAAGCCTGTTTAGCTTGGGGTTTTAATATGCTCCAAACGTGTCCTTTCCCCCGAGAGGACCTTCCTAAGGCTCTTTTATTCAAATGAACGCCATCGCTGGGGGCCTCTCATGGGCACATCTTCTGCCACTGCACGTCACCATGGGCCTGCGCTGTGGGCGAGGCGGGGTGGGCTGTGCAGAGAGCGGACGGGCAGCCTCCCCATTCCACCAGACGTAGCATGGGATTTAACTGATATTGGGAAAGCCCAGAAAAAGTCATACTTCTTTTCTCTTGAACTTTGAAGCGGCACAACGTGGGAGTTGTTTATTATGAGCCACTCATAGTCACTGTTTGCCGTTGCATTAACTACTTTTTGGATGGTGAACCCCATCCGTCCTTTCTGCTCTTGAATTAATGCTCTTTCTGACACTTCACTGTCTTCGCAGGGTGAAAAGGGGAGTGAGGGGGAGCCGGGAAGAAAGGTAAGTCGAGCAGCGGCCGGGTTTCCTCTCGCTGGCAGGGTCCCCCCAGCCCCCCACCCGACCCCCACTCCCGGTGACCACGCACAGGGCTCTAGCTGCATCCACCTGTGACATCGGGTGGCGCTTTGACACTTCTTTTCAGAAAACAATTTTAGAATGTCTCCCCTTTTGCGTAATACACACCAGCTAACCAACATCTTCTGGGGTTTGTGACCTGAACGTCGGCGCTTTAGGAGAGCAGGTGCACAGGCGGAGGGACGGCGGGCTTGGCAGTGGCTTCAGTTCTGGGGCCAGCACATCGTTGCTATGCTGTCTTCCGTCCTCGTCATGCCTGCCCTGTATTCCCAGCCCTCCTGGGCGTCACCTGCTACGTGACAATGCCAGTGGTGTCCTGGAGTGATGCTAGTGCAGGCCACCTGGGGGACTCTCTGTGACCCTGAATCGTGCTGGGCTGGACCGGGGACCCCAGGAGTCCCAGGGGGCTAGAACACCCGAGGGGGTAAAGTGCACGGGCCAGCTCCCTCACCTCTTATCTCTCCTCCTAGGGCATCGCCTTAAAGGGAGAAGAAGGAGTCATGGGCTTCTCGGGCATACGGGTAAGCGATGCATCCCATAACTGCAGTTTGCTCTGGTTTGCATGTTAAGTAGACTGGATTCCTCCGAGCAGACCTGAGGTTCCCTGCGAAGTCGAGCTAGAGGCACAGAGAGGTCCCACATACCCTCTCCCCTCACCCACGCACAGCCTCCCCACTCCCAGCGTCCCTGCCAGAGTGGCCCTCTGACCGCGGCGGGCGAGCCCACAGTGATGGACACGCCCTCCCCCCCAGTAACCATGATGTTGGAGACTCCACTGAAGGAGGGTGGGGGCAGAACACAGAGACATCTCTGCCAATGCCGGTGAGGCTGCCTTAACCCATGGTAACGGAAGTGTAGACTGTCCCCAACACAAGAAGTTGATTCTTGTTTCCCTGAGAGTCTAGGACAGTGGGTGGGGTGCTGGGGGTCACGGGAGTGTCTCCCCCGTGGAGATTCAGCGCCTGTGGCTCCCATGCCCAAGGGCAGACCTCCATCCTTAGAGCGTGGCCTCAGATGACGCCTGCCTCTTCGGTCCTCCCTCCGTCGGCCAGAGCTCGGTCACCTGCCACACCTCACTGCAAGTGCACTGGGAAATGTGGCCAGAACAAAGGCAGAGTGGCCTTGCGGTGGCTCTCTGGTAGCCACGGCCACTAAAAGGACACGTGTTAGAATCTTGGAAAATAAGAGACCCCTGAGAAAGTTGGAGTGCAGGTCTTTTAACACCTCCACCGGATGAACCATACCGTCTTTCTAGACTTCTCCGTATTGCTTTAGGCAGTAGATGTGATGACCCACATCCCTCAGAAAATAATTTTGATGCTTTCATAGTAAAGCATTTCATGTTAGCCCATGTCGGGGGCGGTAACAGAGCCCTCTGGGAAATGTTGCTGTCCATTCTGAGACGCTTTTGCTTCCGTTTTCCATCCCAACCCAGGGTTCTCCTGGCTTCGATGGCGAGAAGGGTTCACCAGGACAAAAGGTAAGTTTGACGCGCCTGTTTATTTCACCACCGTGCTTTGGAGATGATTCCACATTAGCACGGACACATCCACAGAGCTTTGGTAGCGACCTGCACAGCATTGCGTGAAAAGGACGCACCGTGTGCCTAACGACCCCTCACCGTGGTTCCCAGCTGCTTGCTGTTTGCAGCCGTCACACGGTCGACAGTATGGGACACACCTCTTGGCGCCCGTAGGCCAGGATTTCCATCATTCGGTCCTAGGAAGTGCATAGACAGGCTTTTTAGAAATCAGTTCAGCCTCTGAATCATGACTCCATTGAATCCTGCCAGGGCTCCACCGCCATGTGGACAACAAGGACGTGGGGCTCATCAGTCTCCGCGGGGAGCTCCCCGGGGACTTCAGATGGACGTGGCCTCCGGGTCCGGCTTCCAGCCGGCACTAGCCCTAGACCCAGGCTCTGCTGACACTCTAACCCGCTCGCAGCGGGACCAGCCTCAACTCCTTCCTGCAACCTTGGCTTGTCTCACTCCTCCCGCTCCTGTCCTTTCATCCCAAACTCAGGCCGAGAAGCTGACACCAGGGTTCCCCTAATTGCATCCACGTTCTCATGACATTCGTAACTGATGCGGGCACCCCCAAAGGCGGCGTTCCTGGAGGACGGCTGTCCAGGCGTACCCCAACCGAAGGCCAAAAGGCCAAATTCCAGTGGAAGGATTTCATTAATCAAGCAAAGAGACTGAGAACTAAGGCAACGTCTACAAGGGACCCGTCTCCACTGCCCGTGGAGCCGAAGTTCTGTCGTTCAAACTTTCATCGCTTGCCAGTGACAGGGAAATTATAATTACGGGTTTCTTCTACACCCGGCACTCAGGAGTTACAGATTTTTTTTTTTAATGCAGTTGGATACAGCTGCCCCCTGGAACTCGCTGTTTATGTGAGACAAGACGCCCAGTTAGACATTGACCACCTGGGGCCTCTAACTGCTGTGGCCAGATGTTAGAACGGAAGGCCCTCATCTTCCAGGGGAAGACGGGGACACTTCCGGCCAAGTGGGACGTCTCTGTGGGGAGACAGTTTACTCAACCATACAAATAGGAAATGCCCAGGACATGTACAGATGGCAGAGTCCCTGCTTGTTAGGCCGCACGGCACCTCAGACGTGACCGCTGAACCTCGTCTTACTTGACAAGCTGCCATTACTCCCAGAGACCTGTTCAGTTACTGATCTAGTCCCCAGATAATTCCTCCTTGACCGCACAGCCCTTGCCCCCCCCCCACCGCCACCCCTGTTGTTATGTCTGCACAGAAACACAAAGACAACCCGTTAGGTGGTTGTGTTGACTCTTGGTGTGCCAGACAGTCAGGGTTCCAGCTGCCTGTGGTCTCACGTGCACCTAAGTACAATCTCCCCCTTTTACTCTGCTGAGCCCTACATAATACTGAGCCCACCCCCATCCCCAGTCAATTCACCTGCTGCTGAGAACTCACAGGGAAACTTCTAGATCATTGTTTTGGCTTTTTGGGGTTCCAGCAGCCAACAGGGAGACCTGTGGATCGATAGAGCCAATAGTCAGAGACATCTTGAGCACTCTTCCATTTTGCCCTTTCCCCTGTTGGTTTTCCGAAGCCCCCGGCTCATTCCAAACGTTTGCTCAGACGTGTTTCAGAAACATTGGTGCTGCTGTGGCTTATGCAGCACAGGTGGTGAGCACGTTGTGCAGAGGGGGTGTGGGGTGTACCCACTACTGCCCAGTGATAGCATCGCCCAGCCGGACGGCGCTCAGGCACGTAGCACGAATGCACGTCTGGCCGCATCCAGCACGGCGTCTGGGCTGAGTTGTTAGGTTGGCGCGCAGGCCGCTGAGAACTGAGCGCCTAGCTGCTCCCGTCGTCGGCGCACTCTGTCAGGACTCCGTGCCTGTCTTGAGAGATGGCCTCCAAGTAGGAGATTGGTGGGACCTCGGAGAAGTTTCCCTTCACTTCTGAATCGTCAGCTCCACCTAGTGTGAAAGGAAGTCCGTCGACATGAAAGGCCTGCATGGAAAGCACAAAACCAACCCCGTCATTGCTCACGCTAAGCAACAGGACTTTCAACATGTGTGCTCCCGAGTTCCAGAACATCCTGTGAAATAACCAGGCTGCATTTTTTACACCATGGGCGCGTGGTATTCTGAACTTGGGGCCTCACTGTACCTATTCTTTGGCAAGAGGGAATGAACTTCTAGGTTTCTTAAAAAGCTTTACATATATATATCCAGCTATGATGTGGCTCACGAGGGTGAACGTTCTCTTTCAATAAATATTCAAGGGGATTAGAAAGCAGCACTGAACACTTTCTAAATGAAGAGAAAAATTCTAAATTAGGGGGCATTAATGCTCCTATTTGGTGCTCGTAAAAATTTTTCAAAATCCCGCTTGGGGGAAGGTTTTAATAGATGGATCAATCATAAAATCACTGAAGGGGGGCAACCCGGCCCCCGAGCCTCCTGAAGTGACGCAGTAGGAAGGACACGACACGCCTTGTGACTAATTCTCACTCGCAAGGTGCACCTGAGCCCAGGGAGGGAAGCCCGTAGCGAGAACAGCTGCTGGAGAGGACGTCTGCGGGCAGAGGTGCACACTTTCCACCACTGCGAGGAAGAGTGGACCACCAGTGACCCGGTTTCTTCAACAGCAACAATAACAGAAGTTATGGAAAAAGTAGAAAGGAGGAGGCAACTCTTAAGAATTGTGAGGCCGCTGGGGCACCCGGGTGGCTCAGTCAGTTGAGCGTCCGACTTCGGCTCGGGTCATGATCTCGCGGTCTGTGAGTTCGAGCCCCGCGTCGGGCTCTGTGCTGACAGCTCAGAGCCTGGAGCCTGTTTCGGATTCTGTGTCTCCCTCTCTCTCTGCCCCTCCCCTGTTCATGCTCTGTCTCTCTGTCTCTCTCTCTCTCTGTTAAAAATAAGTAAACATTAAAAAAAAAAAAATTTTTTAAAAAAAAAAGAATTGTGAGGCTGGGGCGCCTGGGTGGCTCAGCCGGTTGAGCGTCCGACTTCGGCTCAGGTCGTGATCTCACGGCTCGTGGGCTTGAGCCCCGCGTCGGGCTTTGTGCTGACAGCTCAGAGCCTGGAGCCTATTCGGATTCTGTGTCTCCTGTCTCTGCTTCTCCTCTGCTTGCTCTCTGCCTCAAAAATATAAACGCTAAAAAAAATTTTTAATTAAAAAAAATAATGATGAGGTTTATCAGCCGCAGGTCACGTTTGGACTTTGAGACCACAATCAGGGAACATTGGGCACAGAGTGGGTAGTAGGTAATTTTCATGAGTTGTCGTTAGTGTTGTCAGCCGTAATAATGGTATCGTGGTCACTTCTTTAAATTCTGTGTTAGTGGTAAAACTAAGCCCCGAACATCTTTCCTGCAGGGAAGCAAAGGACTGGATGGTTATCAAGGCCCGGATGGACCCCCGGGACTCAAGGTGAGCTCAGTTTTCCTGGGGCTGGAGGTGTGGTCTCCTGCCATCCACCCCATTGGAGGAGGTGTCCTCTGTCCTGTTTAACACTCGCTAAGCAAACACACAACACCCCGCACTGGACAGATGATACGGACATGGCCTTATCGGTCACGTGTCCGGACCTCACAGTGCTGCACACCACACAAGGCACATGGAGGGCACACTCGGGATCTGCACCCGGGAGCAGAGGGGACCAGCGGGGCTGTGGGGACAGGCTTTGTAGTAACAAGAGGGTGGGGTATCCCCTGTCCCCAGGGGGGAGTATGATTGGCTTGCTCGAAGAATGGGCTGGCAGGGAGGTGAGGACCAGTAGGTTGAGGACCAGGTGGGGTGCAGCTGGTCGGGTGATGGGGCTCCAGCCAGGCGGGGAGACTTTCCTGCTAGTGGGGAGCGTATCTGGTGAGGACAGGGGCATTCCGCAGTCAGGCCTTCGGGGGCCCCGGGAGGCTCGAGGACACCAAGGCAGCACTTGGAAGTTTCGGTGTCACAATCCAGATCAGGGTACAGTTGCATCGTTCCCAGCTTGGGTGTGGCTGCAGCCTGGTATCCGATGGGTGGCTGGGGTACCGTGACCAACAGGGGAACAGTCTGCCCTGCAGAAAGTCGTCCCCTGCCCGCTTCTGGTGTTTGACAAGGACTGCAAAGTGAGGTTGGTGCCCTGCCCGCACCGCTGCCTCTTGGTGTGTCCGGCTGGTGGCTGGGATGCCCGGGCATCACCACAGCACAGGGCAGATGGTCCACATTCAGCTTTACTCCCTGGTACTAAGCGTAGTTTCCCAAACTCCAAAAGGCGGGCCTCACGTTCTTCCGTTCTCCTCTTTCTTCCTCCAGGGAGAAGTGGGCGACCGCGGCCCCCCAGGTGCCCCTGCGTACTCGCCTCATCCCTCCCTGGCCAAAGGTTTGTGTGTGATTTCTCCTGCGTGTCTACATCGTACGGGATCCTCTTCTGTCTCGGACACAGAGTCATAAACTGGCAAGAGAGGCTTTCTGAGTAAAACAAAGCAAAGCAAAACAAAAGATGTTTAGAACATAACCTTTGGAGAGTATCAGTCCCATGTACAACTTAGCTTAAATGCTTAAACGTGGTGTCACAGAGAGGCGCTCGGTTCATCTGTGCCTAAGAGAGCGCCCTCTGCTGGGCGAGCCCTGCACTTCCGCATACGTCGTGCAGATTCTGGTTTCGCCACCTGTAAAGTCACTGGAGAAATCCAGTCCTTGGGCACATCTGGCCTCCCCGACGGCGGGAGTCCCAGCTGCCTTTGCTGGTTTCTGCCCCACGTGCACCAAGACGCTTATGGCCCCTGCTGGCCAGTCTGAAGCCGGAAACTGGCCATAATCCATAATCTGTACACAGCCACCTCCTTTCAACCTTCGAGGAATCCCCAGGTATTTGTGCATGATGGACTGCCCAGGAGAGGCTCCCGGTGCCCCAGTTGACCCCTGAGCGTACATGAAAGATTTTGCATGTGTCACAGCTAATGCCCATCTCGTGATTTCACTCAGCCTCCCAGATTGGCAGGATCGTACCAAAATACGATTTTAATTCTGTGAGAAGAGCAGTGGGCTCAGAACCTTTTTGAATGTGAGTCCTTCTAGGTTCAAAAAGAAAACCTGTTTTCAGTGCCCCCTGTAAGTAATCATATGTATATTTACTTATGGGTGATTCACCTATGTTGTGCAAAGCTCCGGGATTTTAGCTGCTATGGTTCACTACTGTATCCCCAATTTCTAGAACAGGACCAGGCAGAGAGTAGGTTACCTGAACAGCTGGACAGTGTATGTACTAAATAATACACGTCAGGAAAGAGTTTTACTTTAAAAGAGTGGTTTTTAAACTAAAGATGGTCTAATGTTTTCTTCCTGCACCCAGTATATGTCCGTGGGTCAAGGACTCGCACCTGCTTGGTGCAAACCATCTGTCAGTTTAAGAACAGCCTTTGCATGTGCTTATCCTCTGTTGGTGAGAACTTAGACTAGCACAGGACTAAGGACATCCCGGCAGAGCCCCTAAAGGAGTTCTCTGCAGGGTGGCATTGAAAGGACATCACTGGCCTCCCTCCGCAAGAACAGCTGTGTTTTGTGCATTCTTGCGAGTTAACACATACCAGTAAATGGGTATATTTGGAATCCCTGCTCAACACTTCAGATCGCCCTCCCTGCGCGGCTGGTACTCATGGAGTCCATGGGGTGTCCATGGACTGCGACACGCCTGCCAGGCCAGAAACCCCAGGAAGAGGAACATGAGGTTGATATACTGTCAGTGGTTTTGGTGAAATGGAAATACTGTCCTTGAGGCTTTGGGAACATAATTTTTTAAATTAACCTTGGCGATTTTTCAAAAACGTTCACTGCCCAAGAGCCCGGCGTTAATCTAGCTTCCCCCGTCCACCACCCTGTATTTCTAAAACCACACTGGGAAGGCGATGGTTTTAAGTTGGTGAGCTGGGGGGCGCCTGGGTGGCTCAGTCAGTTAAGTGTCCGACTTCAGCCTAGGTCATGATCTCGCGGTTCGTGGAGTTCTGCTCCCAGCCTAGCTCCCCAAACACAGCCTCAGGTTTCTGGAGCCCTGCCTCTGAGCCCCAGGCTCCCTCTTGTCTCTGCCTCCCCATTCATGCCCCCCACTCTCAATAAATAAACATTTAAAAAATTTTTGTAATTAGTGAGCTGGCAGGTGAGGGCTCCTGACACAGGCTGATGAGCTTCAGCAAGAGCTAAAACAAATATCTCACAAAGTGAAGCTTTGTGAGCTCACAACCCCAAAGGGTGAGGAGACTTGTGTTTTTTTTCCCACTGGTTGCAAAGTAACTGAAACCAAGTCCTGCTCTTCTTCCAAACAAATGAGAGGGTCTGTGTTTGCAACATCGCTGTCTCTCACCCGTGCCTAGCTTAGCTGCTTTTTAGGCTCACCTGAGTCTCGGCAGGCCCAGCCAGACCATGATGCTTGTTAATTGATTACTTTTCCTCACCCCTTGAGATAAAATTTAATGGGCCGATGGCTGGTGGATAAATTTGAAACACAGGAAGCTAAGAATCCTGCCCAAGGTCTGCCGTGAATGAGTGGAGGAGGAGCACCAGCGCTCCCCCCCACCCCCCTGTGTGGTGAGCCCAGCGTCCCTCCCTGCCCCCGCCTCTGAGAGGGCTTGAGCCCCTGTGCACAGTGAGCCTTAGACTCACACTCTCCCACCCTGCTTTGTACAGGCACACGGGCATCCCATCTGTCTATTCCATTGATGCTGCCCAAAAAAACAGATCCCATGCAGAGTGGCTTCCTTAACACTTCTTGGTAATCTCATGTAAATGTCATATATTGTCTCCTCTTTTCTCTCATCTTTCCCAGTTGTGGTTCTCAGGGAAAAATAGCTGGGGGCCTGGGTGGCTTAATGGCTGGAAAGGTCCGACTTTTGTGCCAGGTCACATCTCACGTCCTGTGAGTTCGAGCCCTGCTGCCTCTGCTGATGGTTCAGAGCCTGGAGCCTGTTTCCCATTCTGTGTCTTCCTCTCTCTCTGCCCCTCCCCCGTTCATGCTCTGTCTCTCTCTGTCCCAAAAATAAATAAACGTTGAAAAATGTGTTGCACAGTAAAGCATTGCTGTTGACCTGCACAGAACACAGCGAGGCTGCTCTGTGTGTGTGTGTGTCTGTGTCTGTGTGTCTGTGTCTGTGTGTGTGTATGTGTGTGTGTGTGTGTGTGTGTGTGTCTGTGTGTCTGTGTGTGTGTGTTTCGGGATAGGGTTTGTAAGAGGGCTCACGTACGCTATCCCTCCAGCAGACAGCCAGGAAAAGCAGAGCTGGGCTGGAGCTGGGGCTCTGGAGACGAGGGGCCTCACGCAGGAAGCCACCCTCCTCACTTCCTGGTCTTCCTGCACGGAGCCTGGTGCACGGGGGGATCCCCAGGCCTGTCGTTTCTTTCTTTATCCCCACTCTAGACTCAGCTGCTCTCCCAGCCTGACCCCTATTCACGGATCCCCAGCACTCCCACCAGAAGCAGACGCTCCCCTGCTCGCTGCTTTCCACTTGGCTGATCTCCTCTCCAGATCCCCTTCTGCCACCGTCCTCTGCCCTGTCCCTTCCGTCTCCTGTCCCCTCAGAGGGCACCCGTGTCTAACTGCCAGGCTGCCGTGTCCGTGAAACCTGAGTGCCAGTGGGCATGAAGCCTCACGTGTCTGTAAAAGTGGGGCTGTAGCTCTCCCCCATCCCCCACGGCTTTATGAGAATCAGTCAAGTATTGCACACCGAGCCCAGTGCACACAGCAAAAGCTCCACAATGTCACCTGTTCCTATTGTTTTTAATCTCTACGGTCCCTCAATGTCCGATTTCTCCCCAAAATAATCTTTCCCCCTTTTGAAACCTCTCCGTCATTTTATATTTATGGGAATCTTGTATCGCTCCTATTTGATTAGGAATGAGCTCCTCGAAAGCAGAGACCCCCATATATTAAACATTCGGACCCCCGCCATCCTTCGGTGTATGAGATAAACAAGTAAATACATGTTTGGTTGGTGAAAGTGTGCACGTCCGAGGCGGGTCCTGGACAGCGTCCTGTTCTCATTTCGAAATCTGTCTTGATTCCAGGTGTCAGGGGTGACCCAGGATTCCCAGGGGCCCACGGGGAGCCAGGAAGCCGGGGTGAACCAGGAGACCCGGGCCCACCAGGCCCCCCTGGCACATCCATCGGAGACGAAGGTAAAGGCGCCCTGGTGTCAAAAGACCAAACTTACGTTCCCTCGGGTCCCCGTACTGACTGCTCAGCTCTGCAACCAGAGTCTCTCACAGACGAGACTCAGGAGCTCTAATGGACTCAAGTGCATGCACCCAGTGTCTTCCCGGGAGCGTTGGGCCTGTGACAGTGACCCTTCCCCCCGCCCCGCCCCGCCCCCTGCCACAGAGCCGGGCTCTGCGGTTGACAAGTAACCAGCATGATGCTGTCAGCTGGCCGAGAGGAGCGTGCACAGCCCTCAGACGTCGTGGCCACACTTACGACTCTCAGACCATTGTTGGGGGGCGAGAGGAGGGGCTTTTTTAAAGTTGAAATACGGTGATGGGACCTTCCAACGGCATCGACCCTTAAGGTCCTGACCAGACTGTAAATCCGCGAGTCCTGGTGGCCTCCTGGGGACGGGAATGCCAACACACACGTTACACGTCACAAGTCTCATGCTGCCAGTGGTCACTGTTGGATTTTCAGATGGCAAGAGAGGTTTACCAGGTGAAATGGGGCCCAAAGGCTTCATAGGAGACCCAGGCATCCCCGCGCTGTACCCCGGCCCTCCGGGAACCGACGGAAAGCCAGGGCCCCGAGGACCGCCAGGGCCTCCCGGACTACCTGGGCCAGACGGTAAGTGGAAGGAAACTCAAGAGTGGTGGTTTTCGTGTTCAGACAAAGAAGCCTGGCCCCAGTCAGATCTTTCCTGGGGTTTTTCTGCTAAATAATTCCGTGAACCAATGCGGTAGGCATCACACTAGGGCGTGGCAGGTGCTCTGGGATGCAAACAGAAAGGCTGGTGATGGAAGGAGGGCACAGCCTCGTGAATCTGTTGAGTATCAGCAGGCCCGCGGACATGACCCAGTAGGGCTTGGCTGGCTGTGGGTCCAGGGAGGTCAGCTCTCCAGTGGAAGACCTGAGCCGCGCAGTCTGGAAGCAGGTGCACGCTGAACGCTGTCGGGTATCTGTGTGGTACGTTCCATCACCTTCTTCCAGGGTGGAGCCTTCCTGCCTTGACTTGTAGCCTCTCTCCTCTGTCTTACTAACAATCCAAGCAGACTTGATAATCTGTCTTCTCAGCCCACGTGGAGCCTCTCACTGAACAGTTGATAATAGTCGACAGGAAGAGGTGACTGCGTTATCGTAACAGGAAGTGGCCGCCGTTGGCCAAGGTCGAGACTCGAGACTCTGAGCGTCTGTAAACCAGACAACCATGAGCTTCTGGACCCCATGCTGCCTGGGGGTGTCGCTGAACCGTAGCAGAGTGGAACTTCCAGGTTCCGATGTTACCCTGGCTCATCTTTTAGCGGAGGGTGCCCCCAGGAGGCAGGGAGACGGGCAGTCTGTCTTTGCGCTTGCCATCAAAAACGGTGATCTTTGGAGCTTCTGAGTTTAAAGGGCTGTTTTCGACATTGTAAAATCCCCTAATGGGAGCGTTCCATCCCCTCAAGAGTTTGGATATATGAGGCCTTGGAAGAAAACGTGAGTGCCCAATTTCTTCCCGTGTGATATGGTCCATAGTTTGTCAGCCTCCTTTCGAAACATCTGACTTTCAGTTCCCTGGCACCCTGCCCCATCCCAATAATCTCTGGGAGCTTCCTGTCTTCGGAGAGGGGGAGCCTCACATTGCCAACAGGTAGTGTTGGATTTCAGTGCAAAGGTCAGGTTCAGATCTGTGCTTTCGGTGCTTTGGGAAGACTGCTTCTCTTTGCCATCTCTAGAAGAAAGATGTTGGGGGTTAGAGAAGTGTATCTGCACATACTCCTCCCATTGAAAAATCAGCAGTCCCGGGGGCGCCTGGGGGGCTCGGTCGGTTAAGCCTCCGACTTCAGCTCAGGTCATGACCTCACAGTTTGTGAGTTGGAGCCCGCTTGGGGCTCTGTGCTGACAGCTCAGGGCCTGCTTAGGATTCTCTCGCTCTCTCTCTCTGTCCATCCCCCCTACCAGAATAAACTTTAATAGAAGAGCTGTAAAAATATCAGCAGTCCCCTCTCTGATTCCACTTGGTGTTGCACAGATTTCTATGTCATGTGGTTCTCCTGCTCCAACTCTCCTCCGACCGGCAAAGCCAAATTGTCACATTCTTCTGGAAATTTTTAGGTGCAGATATTTCCCTGGAATTTGCCAAATCATTTGAGCAGTGTTGTCTTTAATATATTTTTAGCCTGGAAGTAATATTTATTCCTGTGACATCGTTGATAATGGCTAAGTTTCTGTGAGCATGATATTTCCTGAGCAAATGTTATCTGTTAAGTTTTCCTCTCTGGGAACAGAACATGATGTGTTAAAATTTTTTTAAGCACGAAGACTTGCCTCTTCAGAAGACTGACTGAAGGCTGACCTTGACCCAATTCCTGTAACCAAATTTCGCTTTGCTAAAGATACAAACACCATCTTGTTTTACAAATCCTGCTCGGTTAAGACCGTGATTTGCTAACGTCAGTTAGCTGTAAACAAATCAACTACTTTCTTGTGCGTATTTTATCCACAAAATACATAGAATAGTGTCCAATAACTTTTATCAGCTTACGATATTAAAAGCATAGAACTTAAGTTCTCCTTGAAATATTTATTCTCCCCTGTGAGACACGTTTCCCAATTGCTTTTGTAAAGCGATCTCTTGCACAAGAAGTAGCCAACCACAATGGCCTCTTAGGCTTTTTGTGCATAATGTAATATCAGTGACCTTGATTCCCACAGAGCTCTCCAAGTCTCCCCCTGGAATGACATTGTTGGATTCCTTTCTTGTTAACCGCATTTCATCCTGCTTTATGTGTTGCTACTAATGAAAACCAGAATTCTTAGCCTTTTGCCGTTCCTGTAGAATCAAACGGTGTTGGCAGTTTTTCTTCTCAGCTAAATATTTTGCTCGCTCTTGGTTCGAGCCGAGTTCACGGAACCGAGGATGGGGGCAGTCCTGTCGTCGTCTAGAATAAGTCAGAATGCTGACAGCTTTGTTGTGGCCACTGGCCTCTTCAGGAGAATCATCCTGGAAATGTCTAAGAGGTGCACTGCTGTCCTATAGGACTTGTCTGAAGTTACGAATTTATTAGAAAAAGAGAGCACTTAGGAAAGAGGCAGGATGGCCCCTTACGACGGCCAAGCCATGCCTCTGTGACTGGATTTGCAGTGTCAGCAACACCCAGGGTTTGTGTCAAACTTAAAATGCCACATCCCTGAGATATCCGTGGTCAAACGCCTACCTGTGCTCTGCGCTTCTTACAACTTCAGGAGATGTAAAATAAAGCCCCCCAAAAAAGTATTATAAAATAAAAAGGAGGCGTCTGGGTGGCTCAGTTGGTTGAGCGTCCGACTTCGGCTCAGGTCATGATCTCACGGTTTGTGAGTTTGAGCCCCGCGTCGGGCTCTGTGCTGACAGCTCGGAGCCTGGAGCCTGCTTCAGATTCTGTCTCCCTCTCTCTCTACCCCTCCCCCACTTGCGTTCTGTCTCTCTCTCTCCCTCTCTCTCTCTCAAAAATAAATTAACATTAAAAACATTTTTTAATT